CTGAATAATTCACCATTCCAATACAGTCATTGTTATAATGTCTTTCAATGCACATAAATGTGTTTTGGGGAAATGAAGTGGTTTTGTACCTACAGAGTGATCAGAGGAGTAGGAAGGGCATGTTGGGCTGCGCGGTGCCTTTCTTGGTATAGATGTATACCGGTGGCGGTATAGTGAACATGTATGGACAGAGAGCATGTGTCTGTACTGACAATCAATAGGCGGTGTGTCTGTGTGTACTGAATATGCATCACAGCAGATGGAGCTGGACCGCCGCCAGGGTCTGGCATCTATTACAAAGTACTTCAAGTCCAAACAGCAAAATGAACAGTAGGTTACATATACATCAAGAATTTTACTCAGTAAAAATATTCGGTAATCCAAATTACAAAATTCTTTCAGTATGGTATAGGTGGGGGTGGGGGGAGGGGATCACCATTATTCGCAGCCTGCAGCTGTGTGGCTTCCTATGTCAGCTCCCACATTCATAGCTCAATGAACAGGCAGAGGGAAGGATTGTCCTTTTACTTGGTTTAAGCTCACTAAGTACTTCTTTCTCTTGACCCCAGTGCCCGAAACATGTTGGATGTTTTGCAGTGCAACAGAACATTGTTGAACAGTGTAGGTGCCTTAAATTTTATGGTGGCCATACACAGTTTGATAAATTATTTTTAACCTCGGAAACTACTAAGCAACCTTTTCACTCCTGGGTTATCTCTTGCCTTGACTGTTGTAACTCCCTCCTCATTGGCCTACCTCATCGCAGGCTATCCCCTCTTCAGTCTATCATGAACACTACTGCCAGACCCATCCACCTTACTAACCGTTTCATATCTGCCACCCCTCTCTGCCAATCACTCCACTGGACTCCACCTCTCTCTGCCAATCACTCCACTGGCCTCCACCCCTCTCTGCCAATCCCTCCACTTTCTTCCCATTGCCCAATGGATAAAATTCAAAACATTAACAATAACATATAAAGCCATTTATAACTCTGCCCCAAATTACATCAGAAATCTTGTCTCCAAATATCACCCAAACCGTCCTCTCCGCTCCTCCCACGACCTCCTGCTCTCTAGCTCTCTCGTCTTCTCCTCCCATGCTCATATCCAGGACTTCTCCAGAGCTTCCCCCATCCTCTGGAACTCTCTACCCCAATTTATCAGACTTTCACCTACTCTGGTCACTTTTAGGCGATCTCTGAAAACCTATCTCTTCAGGGAAGCCTATCCTGCCCTCAGCCAATAATGGAATCTTCTATTCCTCCTACCAGTCCATCCCCCACAGTTACTACCTTTTGTACCACTAGCCCTCACTCTTAGATTCTAAGCTCCAAGGATCAGGCCCTCCTAACCCTCTTGTATTGAACTGTATTGTTACTGTATTGTCTCCCATTATATTGTAAAGCGCTGAGCAAACTGTTGGTGCTATATAAATCCTATATAATAATAATTAGTGATTTATTTTCTAATCAATATCTTCCAATAGGAATAATCGATCCATAGTCGACAACCCATTAGTTTGATATGCCACACACAGGGAAGCAGATTTTTTTTTTTTCGATAGTTAAGATAAATTATCCAAGTTATCCCAACTATTTATCCTTCACAGGGCATACCGAACACCGGATAGATTGTTTGGAGGGGGCAGGAGAGATACACCTTTGTGCCCAAAGTGTATGGCACACAGGGGACTTTATTCTCATGATTTGGAGATGTCCAAAATTAGCACGATATTGGGAGAATGTTCTTGGGGTTGTGTCTTCCCTCTTCCAGACTCCTGTCCCTTTGGATCCATTAATATGTCTATTGGGAGCGCTGGACCCCGAGCTGTACTCTTCAGGTGATCAACTTCTGGGGTTCGGCCAGCTTGGCATCATTGAATTTGTACAGTGAGCCACGCCTGCGTGGTTCACTGTACAGGGGCAGACAGGCAGGTAGGTAACTTTAATTAAGAAGAGATAAAGCACGACTCTTCTGCAATAAATTTCCTGCCAGTTCACCCTTTATAATTCTTTAGTTATAGTTCCTATACAAAACTGGCCCAAGTATACATGTAGGACTTTAAACTGGCATTAATTGGTTTGAAGATTGGCTGAAATTCATTCCCTGGGTGGCCCTACTGGCACTGCTCAGCTTGCCAAAAGTTGACAACGGCAGGCACTGTTCAGGTATTCTGTTCAGGTATTCTGTTCAGGGCAGCACAGTAACTAAATAGTTAGCACTTCCGCCTGGCAGTGCGCGGGTCGTTGGTTCGAATCCCAACCAAGGCACCACCTGGAGTTTGCATGTTCTCCCTGTGCCTGCGTGGGTTTCCTCCGGGTACTCTGGTTTCCTCTCACACTCCAAAGACATGCTGGTAGGTGAATTGGCTCCTGTCTAAATTGGCCCTTGTGTGTGTATGTATGAATGTGAGTTAGGGACCTTAGATTGTACACCCCTTGAGGGTTAGGGACTGATGTGAATGTACAATATATATGTAAAGCGCTGTGTAAATTGATGGCACTATATAAGTACCTGAAATAAATAAATAAATATTCTGACAGCCGCAGGTGCTGGACCTCAGAATACAATAGCCGACACTGCATATTCACCTGTTCGTGGTGTTTAGCTTGGATGGGGAAGTCAAATGATTTCTATCGTTTTTGCCCGCTGGACTGAACAAGAAAAATCTTGCCGTGAAAAGGCAGCTTTAGATTGTAAGCTCACTGGGGCAGGAACTGATGTGAATGGACAGTGTGCAGTAAAGTACTGTTTAAATTGTCGCACTATATAAATACCCTATAATAAATAAAATAAATAGTAGGTGTGCAAAAGGCATGACAATGTTTTTTGCATGAATGATCTGTTTTTTCCTTGGAGGTGCTGTAATGGTGGGTATTTTGACAACTAAAAATGAATATTGAAAGGTTTCCTATTTATCAGTCTCGGAAAGTTGGGGATGCCTGTCCTGTCACTCAATATCCCAATCGGTGGCCTTAATTTCCCATATGTTTCCCAGCTCCACCTCTTCAACTACAGGTTATTGTTCCCCCTGCAGAGCGACGCTCCCCTTGCCTGTTGTCCCCTCTCATCTCTTGGCCTTGCTCCCCTCTCCGTCCCCCTTTAATTGCTCCTTCCTTCTATGCTGGCTTCACTCTCTGTGTACATTTGATAATAATATCCCCCAGGGACGCCCTGGTCCCTTTGTATGCAGATCTGCACCCTGTCACACGGTTGTCACACCATCACGCGGCTGTTTCAGGCTATGATCTCCCGTGAAATCCCAGACACAATTGCTGGTGTCACAGAGTGAAGGAGAAGAGTCAGGGGTCAGCTCGGTCACACTGGAAGAATATGCCCAGATCAGGAGGGGGGGGGAGTGTGAACTGGGAAAAAGGACCAAATGATTGAGATCTTGGTTACCCACTATGGCTACCAACTGCACAGAAGAGACGGTGGTTGGCTAACCTATGTGCGATTTCAATCACGGCAAAAATAAAGGGGCTCATTCGTGTCGACTGGAGAAAAGGAGAAGTAGAGGCAATGCCATTTAAACTTAAAAATGATCCCTTGCAGCGGGCGAGGGTGAAATGCACGTTTAGGTCTAGGGGACATAGAAAAGAAGATAGACTTACTCTATGCAGTACTTGTCCGGTCCTTGCAGCGTCTTCTCCACCCATGCTCCATGGGTCTAAGGTCCTGACTTCATCAAGACCAGTGTAAGGTCCTTAGCCCTGTATTGGTCATGATGATGCCAAGGGATAGTTTACCACTAAAGTGTGCGGAAGTGCCATAATTCTCTAGATTAAATGAGAGGTAAACCCTACAGTGTAAGTGCAGTGCCAAGGGGCAATATTTAAAGTGTTTATAACCACAGATATGAAATATGAGCAAAGCATATCCCTCTATAGTGTGTATTTGTCTCAATCCAGAGCACTAAGTGTTATTTTTGTCTGCTGCCTTGATCCTTTGCTATCAGCATGAGTCACTTCTGACAAGTTTTCCTGACACCAAGAGAAAAATGGTGACAGGAGAGGGACCTTCAGCAGGTTGACAGCATTAGCTTTGTTCCTGTGTGTTGTGTGAAGGGGGGGTAATTCCCTTCCCTCCCAATCGGCTCTCTGAGCTCTTTTGAGAGCTGATTGGAGGGGTACATTTATTAAAACGGGAGCACTCAGAATCTGGTGCAGCTGTGCATGGCAGCCAATCAGCTTCTAATCTCAGCTTGTTCAATTAAAATTTTAAAATAAAACCTGGAAGCTGATTGGTTTCTTAGCAGAGCTGCACCAGATTTTGCACTCTCCAGTTTTAGTAAATAAACCTCTGAGTCAGGGACAGGCTGACAACTCATGGTGCCCTTGGCAATAGGAGATCATGCGGCCCCCCTGTGTCCCCGCCCACACTCAAGCCACACCCACACAAAGCCCCACCTACATATTGCACTGCCCGTATTACATGTGTTTGTCACAGGACAACTATTAGTCGTGCACTCTACAAATCTGGCCTTTATGAAAGAGTGGCAAGAAGAAAGCCATTGTTGAAAGCCATAAGAAGTCTTGTTGAAAGCCATTGTTGAAAGCCATAAGAAGTCTTGTTGAAAGCCATTGTTGAAAAGCCATTGTTGAAAGCCATAAGAAGTCTTGTTGAAGTCTTGTTGAAAGCCATTGTTGAAAGCCATAAGAAGTTCTTCCTCAGACCTCTAAAGACTGAGGAAGAAGCTGGCGCTTTGAAACGCGTTACCACCCACCCATGTCATTACGTTCCTTCGCTGATGTCACGTCCGACCCGGCGCCATTTGCGGTTCACGCGGGTTCCCTGCAGTGGCCGGCCGCTTCAGGATACCCTCCCTGTCCACATCGGATGCGTGAACACCGCTTGCCCTCTGCTGGCTCCCAGGAGCCTGGACTACGTTTGGTGATATGCTCTTTTTAATTTTCCTTCCTGTGAATTGCCAATTGTTTTTTTTACCAACAAAACTGTTAATTTAATGCTGCACTTAGTACGGCACCCCTCTTCCTTCTTTTTTTTTCATGTACAGAGTTCAGCTTTGCTGTAAGGTTTCTGCCGTTGATGCCGCAAGCGCTGCAGTGAACTTGAATAATGGTTTTCTTCAACCCTTCTCAGCACACGACGCTTCTGTCGAGGTGTTAACTTCCATGGACAGCCTGAACGTCTCTGTGAGATGGTTGCAATTCCATCTGTGTTAAATTTTTGTTTCACTTTTGCTACAGTATTCTGACTGATAAGTAAGGCCCCTTTCACACAGGGTCGATCCATCAGCGTGATCTGCCTTCTCAAAGGAAGATCTCTCTGCTGATCCCCGCTGAGCAGGCAGATGACAGGGCCCGCTGAGCAGAGCGGACACAGACACTGCCCACTGATTTCAATGGGATGGTCGGATGGAAACAGACCGCTTGTCCCTTTCTACCCGATTGTCATGTGATCCAATCCACTGTAGGGATGGGGAACGGATCCCCATCCGTCTGTTTTTGGCATACAGGATAGGATCAGATGTTGGTGGGTGTCAGCGGACTATTGTCCGCTGGCACCCGCCGGTCCATAGCAGTCTATGAATGGACTGACTGGGTCCGCCTGAAAAACAGACAGGCGGACAACATCAGTCCGCTCGTGTAACAGGGGCCTAAACCATTGCTGTTCTTCATGTAGCCTTCACCTTTCTTGTGTAAAGAAATTATTTTCTTTCTCAGGCCTTGTGACATTCCTCTTCCATGTGGTGCCATTACTGACAGCATGAAATGGGAAGGGAATTTCTTTGTTAAGTAACAAACACCTGTTTAATGAATAATTAGATTCACCTGTAGTTAAATTCTTGTTAATTAGGATTTTGTTGTCTAAAATTTAGCTTTACTCCTAAAAGCAGGCCATACCTGGGTCGAATTCCGAACAATTTTTCGATCGAAAATCAAAAACATTGTCCGTTCTGTAATTCAATGGTGCCACCAATGATTTTGAAAATCGGTCGTTTTTCACGAATTTTCCAGCATGCCCGATAAACGAAATGGGGAGGAACCACAAAAATCGGCCGATGCCATTGCCCCACTAACAGAGCGAAAATCGGCCGATTATTCTTAGGTCCGATTTTCGAACGAAAAATCATTTGAAAATCAACCCATGTATGGCCAGCCTAAGGCTTTCATTGGGGTGTATTCATTTTTGCAACATGGTTTTGAATGAATTTGTTACTTTTTTGTGTGTGTGCAAATTACCAAATCTTGTTTGCAATCAATGGCAGCATTTGTGGGAGTGTTTTGTAGTTTAGTGTCCCATAGAAAATGTTGATACTGAAAGGAAAGTAAAGGTTTTCTGACAAATCTGTTGGGGTATACTCATTTATGCTTAGCACTGTATATATAATATTGTTTATTTTTATATATATATATATATATATATATATATATACTATATATATATATATATATATATATATATAATATATAATATATATATAAAAATAAATCATAATACATACATTCAACTCATAGGAACCAACCAGATCAGACCATTTAAATCATAACAGGTACCAATCTGATTGGCACCTATGGGCATCAGAGTCCCTTTCTTATCGATGGATACTACAGATTGCATCTCTTTGTAATGCTTGTCATTGCTCGATCTGTCCAGACACTGTAGTCTTTGTTGGATCATGCGGAAAATCAGTTACAGATGTTTCTTGACTTATGTATTGGATACATCACACATCTTTTAATGTTGAAATCTGAGATGAGCAAACACTATCTAAGTATAAGAGACCTATATTCTTCCTGGAATCTTGGCGTGAGACTTTTCCTTCCTGCAATAAAGACCAATCACTGCTACTCTCTCTCCATGTGCAGGGTGACTGGTCTTGTCCCCGCCCCCTCCTGTCATTTTCTGCACATAGGTGAAGCCTGCTGAGCCCTCTCACAGCTATGCCTTTGCACAGGCTATGTACAGCAAAGTGCTACATTTACAAGGTAATATCTGTAATATATGTAGACTTCACCTCCGCAACATCTCCAAGATACGACCGTTCCTAACCTCGGAAACCACTAAGCAACTTATTCACTCCCTTGTCATATCACGCCTCGACTACTGTAACTCCCTCCTCATTGGTCTACCTCATCGTAGACTATCCCCTCTCCAGTCTATCATGAATGCTGCTGCCAGACTCATCCACCTCACTAACCATTCCATATCCGCCTCCCCTCTCTGCCAATCCCTCCACTGGCTCCCAGTTGCCCAACGGATAAAATTCAAACTCTAACAATGACATATAAAGCCATCCACAACACTGCCCCAACTTACATAACCAATCTTATCTCTAAATATCACCCAAACCGTACACTCCGCTCTTCTCAAGACCTCTTACTCTCTAGCTCCCTCATCTTCTCCTTCCATGCTCGTCTCCAAGACTTCTCCATGGCATCACCCATCCTCTGGAACTCCCTACCCCATTCTATCAGATTATCACCTACTCTACTTGCCTTTCGGCGATCATTGAAAACCTTTCTCTTCAGGGAAGCCTATCCCGCCCTCTGCTAATTCTGGAATCCTCTACTCTTCCAACCACTCCAACCCCCACAGTGACTACCTACTGTACCTTTCACCCCGCCCTCCTAGATTGTAAGCTCCAAGGAGCAGGGCCCTCAAATCCCTTTTGTATCGAACTGTATTGTTGCTGTATTGTCTACCACTATAATGTAACGCGCTGAGCAAACCGTTGGCGCTATATAAATCCTGTATAATAATAATAATAATATCTGGGTTTGCAAAACTATTTGCTGCACACAAAGTTAATTTATATATTTTTTTTTTGTCTACGGAGGAATATATTTAAATGAAAGTTTTTGTTCCCAAAGTTCACTTTTAAATTCCTAAAGTAAACCTAGCTTTAGCATGCCCCTGACAGTACACAATGCAGCATGGGTACTACTCTGCTGATTCGTACATCTATTGGAAGCCAGGGAGTGAACTTCTGGGCTTGGCTGGGGATTTGGTTTCTAGTGACTGTTGTTAGGAGGCTATATTCATTTTAAATATTTTTAATGCCATGCTATTTTTACTTGATACAGAACTAAAACCACAAATAACAATAAAAAATGGAATAGCTCATTAAAAGATACTTTTGCTGTAATATTCACCTTCAGACCAGGTTCACACGTATGCGGTGCAGGAAACCCTGCAAATCCTGTGCGTTTCCTGCACCACATTGCAACCGCATGGTGTTCATGCAATCTGGTGCAGGTGTCAATGTTAAATCAATGACACCCCACAACAGACCACAAAACGCAGTGCGATTGCCAGAAATCGCATCACATGGGTAAGAACACTCATGCGATGCAATTCAGGTGCGGGTAAAAAAAAGGGTCCTGCACTTTTTTGGTGCAGATGCGATGTGATTTCAGCCATACAAAATGTATGGTTCAAATTGCACCGCACAAACATCGCATGTAATTCGCACAGGAATGTGGTGTGATTCCTGTATAAATTACATACAGTACCCCACACTGCATTAGTGTGAACCCAGCCTGTGGAGATTTCCTCCACAGTGTTCTCTTTCTGCCACTAGATGTCCTCAGTTTGATCCAGCATCATTTAACCCACTTCCTCTGAGCCTAGGTTGCCCAGCCTGTGACTGGACAGTGATAGGAGAAGCAGCACAATAATGAGCTCATCACTTTGCTCTCTCTTCCTCTCAGCATACTTCTTGTCATATCATGAACTGCTATTGCCTCTCAAACTCCAGCCCTACTGTATAGGGGCTGCAAGAGGATGACACCAGGGTAAACTCAGATCATTACATTGCTTGAATTTAACAAAAATACATTGATTGATGTAATAATATTTACAGAGGTGCAATAATTTGTGTCTTTTATATCTGTCTAGAGTTCGGAAGTGGCTTACCACTGTGATTGTGTTGCCAGTCTTGCTTCCTTCCCACTCACATGCACAGCCCAGAGAACCACGAGACCACTACAAATAGGGAGATGTAAGTGCAGAACTGGAGGGGGGGACGGGAAGGATTAAAGATTTTATGCATGCCTGGATTTCTGCACGCTAGGTCATTATAAACTCAGAAAGATGTACAGTGTACAAGTACTTTAAAGCTCATGTACACGGGGCGTTTGGAAAACTCTTTCTGAACGATGGAAACTGACTTCTGGAAAACGTAGGTTAAAAAACGTCAGTTTAGCCTCTTTTGCATACCGCGTTTATGCGCGTTTGCATTCAGAATCGTTTTTAAAAGATAACCTCAGGACACCTTCCCAAATGCCCAGAATGCACTGAAAAATAGTAAATAATTAACTATTTCAGACATTTTGAGAGGAGCAGAGAGAGCAGTATGTGTTGAGATGACCTGTCTTTTCTGGTTGTACTCACTATGGATCCCATCATGAGCATAATGCGGCACGTTCTACCATTTTTTCCTTCACGCCAAACCTGGAACTGACTGCGCTGGTGTACCGGGTCCGTTTGAATACATGGAAAACGCTTTGCATGCATTTCTGATGATGAAAAAAGGCTCTGGACAGCATCTGGATATGGAACAGTTAAAAAATGCTTCTAAACGCAAACGCTTATAAACGCAGTTTAACCACGTTTACAAGCGTTTGGCGTTTGAAACGCCGGTAAAATCTACTCCTGAACACAAGTTTGGTGCGTTCAAAAAAAACGACTGTAAACTCAACTGCCTGTAAACGACTGTAAATGACGATGTGTACATGGACACATAGGAAAACATTAGGGAGAGTTCAGGGGCTGCTGAAAAAAAACGCTGAACAGCTCCTGAAAGTCAGATTAGCAGCTGCAGTGTACATGAGCCCCAATTCTCAAGTAAAGAGTCAACCCAAACAAAATAAGTGAAGTTAAATATGGAGAAAAGGTATACAAAGTTTCTAAAGACTACTTAAGGAACTGATGAGGACCAATCTCCTTCTAAAAACAATGATATATTGCTACAAATGCAAGTCTGGTCTATTCTCTGGTATGGTGCAGAAATGTTTTCTCTCTAAAAAGATCACAAGTTTTGAACAGTTTTGAAATTTGGTACTACAGCAAGTTCTTGCTAGATGGACATGGTCATGAAGGAAGAGTTGCTGCAGCGTCAATGAAGCAAAGCCACATTGGGAGGAATATTGAAGAGGACATGTCAATTTTTTTGTTCATATCCTAAGAAACGTATCTGGAGAGGAGCTATACAAGTTTATAAAAGCAAATAAAACAAAATAGAAGGGTAGAAGAAAAGTGGGATGGGCGACATCCAGAAAATGACTGGCAGTAAAGCAAAATACAAGACCAAATGGAAAGCAATGGTCGAAGCAAAGTTCAAATCTTGAAGTTCACCAAAGGCCACAACCAGTCATGGCAATGGTAATGGCATGCTGCACAGTTATAGCCATTTATGTCTGGAAATTCAGATTCGTGTGTAAGCAAAGTTTCAACTGGTTTGCTTAAAATATCGTCAAACTGCAAAATTAGTGAGCAAATTTTAATTTCCTAGAAACCCTAGTATTCCTCCAGAGGTTGCTAGGGATTCCCTGAGCTGTGGTTGATTGACTTCCCATCTGCAGGTGTCTGCATAATTCTGGGATCAATTATTGGTGTCACGCTGCTGTCTGAGACAGCAGCGTGACACCAATCATTTTTTTAGCTATTCGTAAGGGTGACATTTCTAACCACTACTGTAAGGGGGGCATTCTTTCCTCCGAAGACCCCCAATGACTAATTTAACAGGGTTTCCCTAAGACCTGAA